CTTCATCTCGACATGTCTATTTATTGTTAAATCGACTTCTTTATCGAAATTCAGACTTTCGTTGAAATTCAGACTTTCATCTCGAATTTTCGTCTTTTATCTCGGAACTTCAACTTTTATTCCGAAATTTCGACTTTTGCCTCGGATATTGAACTATTATGCACATATTTACGTATTTCTGTCACCAAATTTTAACTTTGGTCAAAAAATACAACTTCCTTCTCCAAATCTCGATTTTTTTTTCACTCAAAATTTAGACTTCAATGTCGAAATATATGTAGCCTTTCCTTGAAATTCAAGCTTCCATCTCGGATTTTCCACTCTTATCTCAAAACTTCGCCTCGTACCCAAAAACATTTATCTTGAAATTTGTACTTTCATCTCTTAAATTCGATTTTGGTCTCTAAATTTCTACTTCAATCTCTAAATGTAAACTTCCATTTTTAAATTTCAACTTCAATGTATACATTTTTCTTTCTGGACATCGTCAGAAACAAAAAAAAACAAAGTCAGTTAGTACAGAAGACTATTGTTATTTTCACCAGTGCTTCGCAATTTACCTTCAACTAAGTCCACACACACAATATGCACAATTTATGTCATTTTTTTTTCGTCAAAATTAACTAAAAACGGAGCGTAGAACGTGGCCCGGCACAAATAAATAACTACCACATAACCTCAAATGAAACTCCGCGCATCAAAGTTACATAGGGAGGTAGGAGACGTACTGACACATAAAGGAACCATTTTAGTTATTGCGTGATTTTTACTGGTACATATGTGTACCGATCGATCGGCTCGAAAGGGTTTTCATGAATTCCAGCTTCAATTTATAGCTTACCTTCAATTTATAAATTTCAACTTCAATATCGTCATTTTGACTTTTATCACGAACATAATGTGGAGAAAATTTCGAAATTCAGCTTCATTTCCTTTTTTCTAGGAGGTGCTCCGCACGAGCTGCAAGCAGCTGCCGCAGCCGCAGCTGCGTCAGGAAACTACGGAGCGCTGCACAATAACATCCCGCCTGCTGCCCTGAATAATTACCCTCGACCGCCCCTGCAGGTCGGATACGACCCCCATTCGCAGATGAGGGCGCCAGTGGTGCCCGGACTAGGGGGTATTCCCGGAGGAAAACCGTAAGTGTACTGCTAGGTGGTGTTGTTTACAGAAAAACCTTCCAATGATTCTGAAAACCCCTAAATACTTCTATGAACTTCAATAACTTTTTTAGACTTTGAGTGACTTTCGTAGACTTTAAATTAGTTTCTTAGACTGTAAATGCCTTTCTTAGACCTGTAGTGACTTTCATTGAGTTTCAAAGACTTTTTATGACTTCGAAAAGAATTATATAGGATTGCAATGACTTTCAGTGACTTCTCTAGATTTCCAAAAAATATCTAGAGAATTTCAATGACTTCCTAAAACTTCCAATAACAACCGATAAATTTCAGTGACTTCCTTAGATTTTCAGTGACTTATCAAAACTTCCAACAAAGTTCTAAACAATTCCAATGACTCTCAAGACTTAACATGAATCACTGAAGAATTTCAATGACTTCCCAATGATTCTGAAAACCCCTAAATATTTCTATAAACTTCAATAACTTTTTTACACTTTGAGTGACATTCAGTTTCTTAGACTGTAAATGCCTTTCTTTGACCTGCAGTGACTTTCATTGAGTTTCAAAGACTTTTTATGACTTCGCAAAGAATTATATAGGATTGCAATGACTTTCAGTGACTTCTCTAGGTTTCCAAAAAATATCTAGAGAATTTCAATGACTACCTAAAACTTCCAATAACAACCGATAAATTTCAGTGACTTCCTTAGATCCTCAGTGACTTATCAAGACTTCCAACACAGTTCTAAACAAATTCCAATGACTCTCAAGACTTAACATGAATCACTGAAGAATTTCAATGACTTCCCAATGATTCTGAAAATCCTTAAGTACTTCTATAAACTTCAATAACTTCTTTACACTTTGAGTGACATTCAGTTTCTTAGACTATAAATGCCTTTCTTTGACCTGCAGTGACTTTCATTGAGTTTCAAAGACTTTTTATGACTTCGCAAAGAATTATATAGGATTGCAATGAATTTCAGTGACTTCTCTAGGTTTCCAAAAAATATCTAGAGAATTTCAATGACTTCCCAATGATTCTGAAAACCCTTAAGTACTTCTATAAACTTCAATAACTTTTTTACACTTTGAGTGACATTCAGTTTCTTAGACTGTAAATGCCTTTCTTTGACCTGCAGTGACTTTCATTGAGTTTCAAAGACTTTTTATGACTTCGCAAAGAATTATATAGGATTGCAATGACTTTCAGTGACTTCTCTAGGTTTCCAAAAAATATCTAGAGAATTTCAATGACTACCTAAAACTTCCAATAACAACCGATAAATTTCAGTGACTTCCTTAGATCCTCAGTGACTTATCAAGACTTCCAACACAGTTCTAAACAAATTCCAATGACTCTCAAGACTTAACATGAATCACTGAAGAATTTCAATGACTTCCCAATGATTCTGAAAATCCTTAAGTACTTCTATAAACTTCAATAACTTCTTTACACTTTGAGTGACATTCAGTTTCTTAGACTATAAATGCCTTTCTTTGACCTGCAGTGACTTTCATTGAGTTTCAAAGACTTTTTATGACTTCGCAAAGAATTATATAGGATTGCAATGAATTTCAGTGACTTCTCTAGGTTTCCAAAAAATATCTAGAGAATTTCAATGACTACCTAAAACTTCCAATAACAACCGATAAATTTCAGTGACTTCCCTAGATTTTCAGTGACTTATCAAGACTTCCAACACAGTTCTAAACAATTCCAATGACTCTCAAGACTTAACATGAATCACTGAAGAATTCCAATGACTTCCTAGAACTTCCAAGGACTTTGTAAGACTGCCAAAGAATTCTTGAAGAATTTCAATGAAATACCCATTTTCCCAATAACTTATTAGGTCTTCCAAAGAATTCCAGTGACTTCAAAAGTTCGGAAATTCCGAATACTTCCGAAGATATTCGAAAAAAACCGAATATCCGCGATTTTATTTTATTTTTTTCTGACTTTATTTGGACTGTTATGTCAAAATGAATATCATATTAGCATTGCCACTTCTTCTGCTGTACCCAATGGCATTGATAGATTCATGATCCGACGTTTCGTCTTCGAGGAGCCATCATCAACTTTGTTTTTTAAAATGTTGGAAAAAAAATTTTCGGTACTAAAAAACTCTAATTCCAATTCTGAACCAAACGACATAGGGGGTATTCCTGGAGGGAAACCGTAAGTACAGGGTGGCTGGAATTCGAGGCTCATCATTGGGATCTTGTATACCGTAAGAGATACAGGGTACGTTAAATAATGGCGCAATTTGATGCTGATCAAAATGCCGCCTCAAAAGTTTGGAAATTCCGAATACTTCCGAAGATATTTGAAAAAAACCGAATATCCGCGATTTCATTTTTATTTTTTTCTGACTTTATTTGGACTGATATGTCAAAATGAATATCATATTAGCATTGCCACTCCTTCTGCTCTATCCAATGGCATTGATAGATTCATGATCCGACGTTTCGTCTTCGAGGAGCCATCATCAACTTTGTTTTTTGAAATGTTCGAAAAAAATGTTTCGGTACTAAAAAACTCTAATTCCAATTCTGAACCAAACGACATAGGGGGTATTCCTAGAGGGAAATCGTAAGTACAGGGTGGCTGGAATTCGAGGCTCATCATTGGGATCTCGTAAAACGTAAGAGATACAGGGTCCGTTAAATAATGGCGCAATTTGATGCTGATCGAAATGCCGCCTCAAAAGTTTGGAAATTCCGAATACTTCCGAAGATACTTGAAAAAACCGAATTGTATTTATTTAGATATCTCAGAAGCCTCACTTGAAAGGCTTTTTCGAATATTTTTGAAAAGACCGATAATAAGGCAATTGGCCTGTAATTAGACATATTTGACTGACAACCCTTTTTATGGACTGGGATAACTAGAGCAGATTTGAGTTGCTGCGGAAATATACCTGATTTAAAAGATATTGTTACGTTATTCGGGTGCAGAAGCGAACACGACACTATTTATTTTCGAACTGATTTATTTGAACTAAAGAAACACTAATTTATATTGAACTTTTTATGTGAACTGCTTGACTGACTGACGGCAGTTATTCGGCCGTTGATATATGAGATCACTTGGCAGGCTTTGGTTCGAGAACGTTCTCGAATGATCTTCCGTCTCCTTCTTTTTGTTCTAGAAGCTTCTTAGAACAAAACCTCTCTCTCTAATTGTTCCATCGATTGTTTCCAGAACATTCCAGGATCTTGTGTGACGTTATCTGTCACTGCGGCATATATTGAGTGTTCGGAAATATGCTAGTGCATGTAGGAATCATTGGGAGGTTGGAGAACGATCTGGGATGCGTGTTACAGGATGAGCGTTGTACTCCTGTCTTACTGATGATGTTTCTAAAGCCCCTCTAAGGGAAATATCATTACAATATGTTGACAAGAAATGTTAACACCTCGACTATTTCATTCAATACATTTCAATATTCGACATGGTACTTCATCTATTCCACTCGAATTTTTAGAGCAAAATGTATTAATTATTTCAGATATCTCTTGACAATCAACGGGAGTTAGAAAGAGAGAATTTGAGTTGCTATTTTCCAATTTCATATCATAACTATCATTGACTGTTGAAGATCGTGTTAAGTCTCCTACACTATTTATGAAGAAATCATTGAATGCGGTTGCAATTTCCGAAGTATCAGTCAGTGTCAGATTATTTTCAGTAGTTATAGAGTGTGGAAAAGAATTGAGAAAGATTCTAAAACAAATTGTTGAAGAAAAATTCCGAAAAAAAATTAAAAATGTTGGAGAAAAAATACTTTAATAAAAAAAATCTCATTTTTCCACAGAGCGTATTCGTTTCACGTGAGCGCCGACGGCCAGATGCAGCCGGTGCCGTTTCCCCCCGACGCCTTGGTGGGTCCGGGGATACCCCGCCACGCTCGCCAAATCAACACGCTCAGCCACGGCGAGGTGGTGTGCGCCGTCACCATCTCCAACCCCACCAAGTACGTCTATACGGGGGGCAAGGGGTGCGTCAAGGTGTGGGATATCAGCCAGCCGGGGTCGAAGAGTCCGGTGTCGCAGCTGGATTGTCTGGTGAGTGTCTTTTTTTTTCTTCTTGTGAAACGGAGATTTTTTGAATTTTTTTCATTTTTGTCCCTGAAAAAAAAATGGGTACGCCTCTGAAGTTGAAATTCACCATTTTCTCCTGTCGTTGATGTTCTATTGCTCAAACGAGTATATTTTTTTGTAATCATTTGTCCCTATTAGAAAATAATGCGGGAAATTTTTGGGTGGAGGCCTCTAGGAATTGCAATTTTTATTTATTTTTTTCTGTGACGGGAAAAAAGTTTGGCATTTCATCTCTGTTGGCAGGTCACTTTTCGTAAATTACTTTTTTCTCGTGGGAAAAAAGTGAGTACTTTTTCCCGGATATATATCACATATATATACACTGTTGATGGCTTTTGTTGTGCTATTGTTCCGAAAAATGAATCATTAATACCGTCTCCGAGAAAGAATTGCAAGTCCTTTTATCTTCCATTCGACTTCGCGTTTACGTATATTACTAAACAACCACTAAATTCGCAATTTTCTGAAATCAAATCACAGAATTAGACTGACAGAAGTGACATCAGATATTCAATTACTTCAAAAGAATGATAAAGATGCCTACAAAGCAGGTGTCCCTACTGTTAAACACTTAAAATTTCACGTCGATAATTTTCAGATTTCAAAATAATGTAATATCTTCTCAATATTGATTCGTCCTTTCTTCGGTCACAGAAAAAAATAGTGTATTATACACGGGAAAAATATTAGATTTTAGCTCACGGTTTTTTGTCTCCCTCCGCTGAAATCTACTACTTTTTTCCCTTGTATAATAAATAACTATTTTTTTGTCGAAGTAAACTTGACATGTATCAATGAGAATTGACGAAAAAAACTACCTCTGAAAAAATTACGAGTCCGTAGGACGAGTAATTTTTGCTGGCAGTTTTTTGAGTTGAATTACCTTATGGCAGCAATAAAATTCGAATTGTAAATGACAAGTTTACTTCGACTAACTGAAAAAAAGCTACAGTGTAATTCAGTAATACAATTTAATTCATCAAACATTTGTTTATGACTGGTTGTCATGCTTTCAAAAGTTAGGTTCCGTTATTGTCGCTGGAAAAGTTAGGGCAAACTTTTTTCGCTGTCATAATGATAAAATTACTCGGCTTGTGGGATTTTTCATACATGAATTAAATCGTCACTGCAAAAAAAAACTGCTGCCTAACGGATGGACGCCGATCATGGCGGCGAGGCCAGCAAACCTGTTGATCCGGGACCTGGAACATTCAGGTATTATCAACGATAGGCAATATGGCTTCCGTCATATGGCAGCAATCTATCGAGAAATAGTGTGAAACCTCAGCCGTGGCACTTGATATCTCCAAGGTGTTCGATCAAGTCTGGCATCACGGACTCCTCGCCAAGCTTCCATCTTTTGGCTTGCCTCCCCAGTTATCTTCTCTGCTAGCTAGTTTTCTCTCAAACAGGTCTCTCCATGTAGTGGTCGACGGAGTTTCATCTGACTCTCTTATCATAAATGCTGGTGTTCCGCAAGGATCAATTCTAGCACCAACACTATTTCTACTCCATATCAACGATTTGTTGGAAGAAACTTCATGACCAGTGAACAGCTTCGCGGATGATAATACCCTCCATCCCGCCTTCTCTTCCAGGGTTCCAATACCAGCCAGGCAAATCAGAAACGAACGAAGAAGAAATGTTGACAACATCAATATGGACTTGGCAACAATTCTCGAATAGGGATCCAATAATTTGGTAGATTTCAATGCAAACAAAACACAAGCAGGCCTTTCCTCTAGAGAAGCCGATCTCACTGTGCCCAACATAAGTTTGTCAGGAGTAACCATACCTTTGAAGACACCCATTTCGATGCTTCGTATAACTATCAGCAATAACCTTCCTTGGGGAGATCACGTGAGATCAATTGCTAAAAGTGCATCCCAAAAACTTGGTTTTCTGTTTCGGGCCTGGAGCTATTCCACTTCCAGTCAGCTGCTTATGAACTATAAGGCACAGATCCGACCTGTCCTGGAATACTGTTTCCATATCTGGAGTGCAGCACCCAAACATACCATGAAACTGTTGGATTCTGTCCAAAAAAGGGCAATTCGTCTCGTGGGTGGTGCCCCGCTCACAAACTCACTCTCTTCTTTGGAACACTGTAGAAAAATTGACGATCTGGCTCTATTTTATAGATATTTCCATGGACGATGCTCTTCTAAAATATCAACAATTGTTCCTCCCTTGGCAGTCCCTGCGAGATTAACCCGTCGAGTTGAGGCTTCGTCCCCCTTCGTGGTCACTTTGGAGACCTGCGGAACATCTCTTTCAAAAGACTCGTTCATCCAACGAACAGCGAGTCTCTGGAACACATTACCAAGGGAGGTGTTCTCCGAGGCATATAACCTCCAGAAATTCAAGAAGAATAACATCAATTCCTACCTTATTTCCCTTAGTTCTCACGATGTTGTCTGAACATTACAGGATATCCCTTCTCGTGAGAACCAGAACATAAACAAAAATGATGTTTCACATTCCGATGAATTAGCCCTGTTAAAATACGGTTCTGTTGAAATAAAATTTTGATCGAATATATTCCGATACAATACGGTTCCGATGGATTACATTCTGACTATTAATATCCAACCCGATATATAAATCTCACCCAATTATCGATTTTTCCAGCAACGCGACAACTACATAAGGTCGGTGAAGTTGCTGCCCGACGGGCGGACGTTGATCGTGGGCGGCGAAGCCAGCAACCTGTCGATTTGGGATCTGGCCAGCCCCACGCCCAGGATCAAGGCGGAGCTGACGTCGTCTGCGCCCGCGTGCTACGCCCTGGCAATCAGCCCGGATTCCAAAGTGTGCTTCAGCTGTTGCTCGGACGGTGAGTACTTGATTATTCCAGACGATGTTTGAGAGGAGGGCCCATTGAAAGTCATGGCTCAATAAGGTTAGCACGGAAGAGAAATTATATGGTTACCTTCTGAGACAAATGCTTCTTTATGAAAAAAATGTATACTAGTAAACATGAAATCTTTCAAGTATCGAAATTACTGGTGTAAAAAAAACAAGTTCGAACCACTCGATTTAATCCATAAATATATGTGGAATTCTGCAATAAATGATATTGGATGAAAAAAGTAAATGAAAAAATATTCCTCTTCCAAAACAGAACAAATGAAATAGACAAATATAAAAATATGTAAAATAAAGAATCAAATTCTTGTCTTGAACCATTCTGGATCTTATCCAATCTTTCAGCCTTCTGGGTGCTGAAAAACTCCTACACTTACAGGCAGGCAACATAATAGTTCCAGAAGAATGTTTATGTCAGGAAAAAACATTTTTGTTACATTCCTTCATAGCAGTTATACCATTGTCTAGTATATTTCGCTTAGTATCCCACATTTTCTGCCATATATACATTTCAGAAACGATTTTCTGAAAGGAGGACATTTCATCATTCTCCTCAAAAATGGCCGGAAACTGTGTTCAAGTATATTTCTCATGCCTTGATATATTTCCTCGCATAGGTGAAGGATCTATAATGTTCATCTACTGAGAAAACCGTAGGATTCTCCCTGTTAGCCAAGGGAAACACCATTATTATTATTATTAAATATTTAGTGTGGGTCGCGGGTGGATAGCTATAGTATACAGTAAATTTTTTCAGTTATTCAAAGAAACTACATTTTTACATTTCCATCAGGTTCCCGAGGGGGGGGGGGGCATGGCTCCATGGCTATGTATTATATATATAGTATTGTGTGAACTACTTCATTTTTCAGTAAAAGTCAGGGGGAATGGAAGAACGGCTGCAGCCGAATTCCCACCATTTGTGTTGTATCTGTTATTATTTTCAGTACTGCTCAATAAATATTTTATTGTTATTATTATTTTCAGAGATGACTGAACAGAGAAGAAAATGTTTACTGTTACAGCAATCGGCGACGCTCTATCAACTGCTATAGCAGTTGGTTTGTTTCCTTCAACGTATTAAACAATGCATCATCACGTTTTCCTTGATTTTGACAGGTAACATCGCCGTCTGGGATCTGCACAACCAAACTTTGGTCCGACAATTCCAAGGCCACACAGATGGCGCCTCGTGCATCGACATCTCATCGGAGGGCACCAAGCTGTGGACGGGCGGATTGGACAACACCGTCCGGTCGTGGGACCTGCGAGAGGGTCGACAGCTGCAGCAGCACGATTTCAGCTCGCAGATATTCTCGCTGGGTGAGATATTTTATTTTTCTCTAATAGATATTTGAAGCCAAATTCCAAAATTCTTATAGAATCATATTGGTTCGAAGTCATTGAACAGTCATTGAACATTATTTCCAAAATTATTAAACCACGAACTTTCGATTAGTAGTTGAACATAAATACAAGCATGGCATTGACTTCAACGAACCAGGAATATCCACCTGACTTCCTCACTGTCACGTTTCCAAAATACAGTGTGTCCCACTTACCATGCTCACCATGGGTATCTTTTAAACGGTGAGAGATACGAGGTCGGTTAAATGACACCAAATGTGGAGTTTGTCAAGGCCAACTATGATGTGAAAAAATAATTTGATAAAATCTATCCGTTTTTGTTTTATACGCAAAAAACTGATTTTGATCATTTTCATGTCTCCTTCGTAACTTCTTTATTTATGAAAATATTCAAATAGGAATTTCACATTCTCATGGCAGTTTTTCAAAGTGATTTCGAAAAAAATATGAAATTTATACCAACTCTTCTAGAATTTGAGATATCAGCACCAACTTTAGTTTTTCAAATGTAGGTCATAGCTCACTATGACTTAGTTACAAATAACTTTTTTTTCTCTTCCAGATGATATGTCGCAGTAATAGTTTTGTGTTGATAACAACGGAGTTATCGTCATTTATACAAGAACAAAAAATTATTTGGAAGCCGCCATCTTGAATTTATGAATTTTAACAAAAAATCATGATCTCCGACCTCAAAAACCCCCGATTACCAATTTTGAATGGAATCGGACCAAATCTTGTCCGCCATCTTGGAGCAGCCATTTTATTTAATTTCAACAAAAATTCCATAATGTATTGTCACCGAAATTACACCTGTCGAATTTCAAGTTAATCGGAGTTATGGAATTTTTGTTGAAATAAAAAAAATGGCTGCTCCAAGATGGCGGACAAGATTTGGTCCGATTCCATTCAAAATTGGTAAATGGGGGTTTTTGAGGTCGGAGATCATGATTTTTTTGTTAAAATTTATAAATTCCAGATGGCGGCTTCCAAATAATTTTTTGTTTTGTATAAATGACGATACCTCCGTTGTTATCAACACAAACTATTACTGCGACATATCATCTGTGAGAGAAAAAAAAGTTATTTGTAACTAAGTCATAGTGAGCTATGACCTACATTTGAAAAACTAAAGTTGGTGCTGATATCTCAAATTCTAGAAGAGTTCTAGAAAAACTGCCATGAGAATGTGAAATTCCTATTTGAATATTTTCATAAATAAAGAAGTTACGGAGGAGACATGAAAATGATCAAAATCTGTTTTTTGCGTATAAAACAAAAACGAATAGATTTTATCAAAATATTTTGTCACATTATAGTTGGCCTTGACAAACTCCACATTTGGTGTCATTCAACCGACCTCGTATCTCTCACCGTTAAAAAGATACCCATGGTGAGCATGGTAAGTGGGACACACTGTATGTTATACCATGATAATATGTTCTTCTTCTGACTTGATATGATGAATATCATTATTATTATTATTTTTATTATTCAATATACTTTATGGTCGTCCGACTTGGTCGTTTTGTTGTTTTTCTTCGAATAATCGGACCACTTTGAGAAAGATGAATGGTTTCCAATTTCCATGACTCAAACATCTCTTACACTTTCCAGGCTATTGTCCGATGGGCGAATGGCTCGCCGTCGGCATGGAAAACTCCAACGTGGAGGTGCTGCACGCCAACAAACCCGACAAATACCAGCTGCACCTGCACGAGAGCTGCGTGCTCAGTCTGCGATTCGCCGCCTGCGGCAAGTGGTTCGTGTCGACCGGCAAGGACAACCTGCTCAACGCCTGGCGGACGCCTTACGGAGCCAGCATATTCCAGGTGGGGATTTCGTTCGTCATTTATGATGGTTTTTTATCGATTGCTTTGTATCATGCTCTCTCTCCTCTCTTCTCTTCACTCTACTCTTCACAGTATGCTCCCGACTTTTCACTCTCCACGCCACTTTTCACTCTTTACCTTTCACCCTTCACTTTTCACGCTTTACTTTCCAGTCTACTGTAATCTTCACCCTACTCTTCATTCTACTCTTTAATCTACCTTTTGCTCTACTCTTCACTCTAGTCTTTACTTTACTCTTTATTCTACTATTCACTTTACACTTTTGCTTTACTCTCCACTCTACTCTTTATTATAATATGTACTCTACACTTTTGCCGTACTCTTTACTCTACTCTTTACTCTACTCTTTACTCTACTCTTTACTCTACTCTTTACTCTACTCTTTACTCTACTCTTTACTCTACTCTTTACTCTACTCTTTACTCTACTCTTTACTCTACTCTTTACTCTACTCTTTACTCTACTCTTTACTCTACTCTTTACTCTACTCTTTACTCTACTCTTTACTCTACTCTTCACTCTACTCTTTACTCTACTCCTTACTATTCTATACTATTATATACAACTATTTTACTCTTTACTCAATGTTCACTTCCAACTCTCTGTACTCTCTTAACTCTCTACTCGTTAGTCACTTCTCTTTCTTCTCTACTCTTCAATCTTTACTGTTCATTCTATTCTACTCTACTTTGCCATATATTCTTTGTTCATCATTCTTTGCTCTCTTCTCTTTTCTCTCGCAGCGACCAAAATATGTTTCCAGGTGTGAGTACACCATATGAGCTCGAAATATAAAGCTTCTCAAATGAGTCCACACTGAATACTTATTTCCAATGTCTCTGCTGTAAGCAGTACGCCTATAACGTTTGGAATACGTTCAATGCGTTCCAAACACCCCTCGAAGCGTTTTAGAGTACGCTCAAAAAATTCAGAATACGCCCAAACCATCTTCTACGCTTAAATCATCTCAATCACTCCTCTAAGCATCTGATGTACGGTCACATCGTCTCGAACATTCCTCGCCTTCAAAGCGTATATGGACCACGCCCAAAGCTTATGGACCACGCACAAAGCGTATAGGTCACGCTCTAAGCGTATAGGTCACGCTCAAAGCGTATGGACCAAGCTTAAATCTGATGGACCACGCTCAAAGCGTATGGAACACGCCTAAAGCGTATGGACCACGTTTAAATCTGATGGACCACTCCCAAAGCGTAAGGACCACGCACAAAGCGTATAGGTCACGCTCTAAGCGTATGAAACACGCCCAAAGCGTATGGACCACGCTTAAATCTGATGGACCACGCTCAAAGCGTATGGAACACGCCTAAAGCGTATGGACCACGTTTAAATCTGATGGACCACTCCCAAAGCGTAAGGACCACGCACAAAGCGTATAGATCACGCTCAAAGCGTATGGAACACGCCTAAAGCGTATGGACCACGCTTAAAGCTGATGGACCACGCCCAAAGCGTATAGACCACTCCCAAAGCATATAGGTCACGCCTAATGCGTATGGACCACTCTCAAAGCGTAAGGACCACGCACAAAGCGTATAGGTCACGCTCAAAGCGTATGGAACACGCCCAAAGCGTTTGGACTACTCTTAAATCTGATGGATCACTCCCAAAACGTCTAGACCACTCCCAAAGCATATAGGTCACGCCTAATGCGTATGGACCACTCCCAAAGCGAATGGGCCACGCCCAAAGCGTATAGGTCACGATCAAAGCGTATGGAACACGCCCAAAGCGTTTGGACTACTCTTAAATCTGATGGATCACTCCCAAAACGTCTAGACCACTCCCAAAGCATATAGGTCACGCCTAATGCGTATGGACCACTCTCAAAGCGTATGGACCACGCCCAAAGCGTATAGGTCACGCTCAAAGCGTATGGAACACGCCCAAAGCGTTTGGACTACTCTTAAATCTGATGGATCACTCCCAAAGCGTCTAGACCACTCCCAAAGCATATAGGTCACGCCTAATGCGTATGGACCACTCTCAAAGCGTATGGACCACGCACAAAGCGTATAGGTCACGATCAAAGCGTATGGAACACGCCCAAAGCGTTTGGACTACTCTTAAATCTGATGGATCACTCCCAAAACGTCTAGACCACTCCCAAAGCATATAGGTCACGCCTAATGCGTATGGACCACTCCCAAAGCGAATGGGCCACGCCCAAAGCGTATGGACCATTCCCAAGGAATCCGGAGCATGCCAAAAGTCTTGATATTTGTTGCAAATCATACTTTCATAGCTATAGTTTGAAAATTTTTGTTTTTTTTTTTCAGTCAAAAGAATCATCAAGTGTTCTGAGCTGCGACATCTCAGCAGACGACAAGTACATCGTGACCGGATCAGGTGACAAGAAAGCGACAGTCTACGAGGTGATCTACTAGTTAGAGAACGAACTCACGGAACACTCAGTGTAGTTAATAAATTAATGAAAATGTGATAATTATGTGTAATAAAAATGAACAATATCTCCGTATGGAACTGTCACACTTTAAGATGAAAATTAGTGATCTGAGGATGTGAGATACTAGATTTTTTTTAGAAGAAAAGTGATCTCCATGACATTTGAATAAACAGTTTTTATTTTGAATTTGTACATATACTTATTACGGATTTGCTTACATATTGATTGTTGAACTCAAATTGTTATTGAAAAAAATATAATAGACGACAATTTTAATTGAGATATACTGACTTGAATCTTTTTTCAATGAATGCAATTCTTTGCTTTTCTTTATAATTAATTGAAATTGTAAATATATCAATCACGAATAGGCATCAATCACATTGTTTTTCGTTTTGTTATTTAATATTTTAGCTAGCTGGAAATACAAAAATTCGATTATACAGGAACACAAATGTATATTGTCTATATATATTTGTAATTTATGCTAGTAATATAAAAAAAACTATCGAGTTATCGGTGTTGCCTACACAAA